GACTGATGGTATGTTTTTCCCATTTCTCTCATAGAGTGCAATAGAGTCTCTGTTTGGAGCCTCTATGACAGGTATAGCGTATTCTTTGTTTGCTGGGCAGCCCCTCACTATCCTGGGCAGCACAGGACCTGTCTTGGTCTTTGAGAAAATCCTCTTCAAATTCTGCAAGTGAGGCTCCTTTGATTTGCACTAAGCATTTTGAAGTATTTCAGTCAGCTCAGGGAAATTCTCTAAGAAATGAATTGCACTGATAGTGTTGTTTATTTTCACATGCAATCTGCATTGTTGTAGCACTGTATTTAATTAAAGGAAATATGCAAATCAGGTAAAAATTCATAAAATTAAATATAAAAATGTAAACTTATTTTATTTCAGCTAGCTGCCAAAGCAACATTTCTTATTTGCATTTAGTTTAACTTGATGTACTAAAATAAATAAGAATGAATAAAAACTATATGACATATTTAAAAAAAAAAAAAACTACAAGGAATAAAAATGACAAAAACAAACATAATTAAAAATTTTAAATAAAATGAAAACAAAAAATTCTACATATAAATATTTAATTAAAATATTAATAAAAACTATAACAATATCTTAACAATACTACAATGACACTGGTACCTGGTTAAATTGGGTTTATTGATTGATTTACTTTTTGATTGATTGATTGATTGCACACAAGAATAAAGTTGAAGCAAATTTAGAAATAGAATATAATATTAGTGACTGGAAAATAAATAAAAAAGCTCACATGAGCTTATTCAAAGTACTCAGCCACAGATAAAAATTTAGATTAACATATCAAGTTTCAAATTCATTAATTAATTATAAACAGAAATACATATTCACAGATTGCAGGTGATTAGTGAATACAATTTTTTAAAGATTTTAATTCTTATATTAGCTGAAATATTGCACAAGAAATGAAACACTATTTAGTGAACTCACCCCCAAAGTGTCTTTTATCATTTTACCGTAAGACAGAGACTCATTTTTATCTGTGTTTTCTCCTCAGAGACTATGGTTTGTCCTACCTCTCCTTGCGTTTGTGTATCGGTCTGTGGACAGCCTTTTTCTGTCTTCTGCTGGTTGCCACAGATGCCAGCTCGCTGGTGTGTTACATCACAAGATTCACAGAGGAAGCCTTCGCTTCCCTCATCTGCATCATCTTCATCTACGAGGCTCTGGAGAAACTCATTCATCTGGGAGAGACGTACTCTTTCAACATGCACAACGACCTCAACCAGCTCACTCAGTACTCGTGAGTACTGATACATATATCAATCTTCCTTAAGGTCACAGCTCGTTGATAAAGTTATCAGTGTGAAATCATGTGATGTATTTATTTGTGTTTTGCAGGTGTGTGTGCACAATGCCTAAAGAACCCAGCAATGCCACACTTAATTACTGGCAGGAAAAAAACGTCACTGAATCTGAGATTGACTGGTTAGGCCTAGATGTAAAGGTAAGTGTGACTATTGGTGCATTCGTATTTACGGGAAGTTTGTATTTACGAGTTAGAAATTGTCATAATAAAAAGATAAAAAGTAGTTTATAATAGAAATGGAATAGAGAGTGCAAGTGTTAGAGGGTCAAGTTTTTTTTTTATAAATAAAAAGAAAACAAGTAGCTAGAACAGAAATAGAATAGAGAGTGTGGGTTATAGGGTCAAGTGTAGATGGAAGAGATGTGTCTTTAGTCGTTTCTTGAAGATGACTAAAGGCTCAGCTGCTCAGGGCTCAAAGAAAGTTCAGAGTTTCCTACTCGTAATTAGGACTTTGTGGTGGCGTTTATGTGCATTCAACTCATAAATATGATGCTGGATACTGATTTCATTAAAAATAGTATGAGAAACAGTATGCATTATGCAGTGATAAATAACTAGAGCTCTCAAGCGATTACATTTTTAATCTAATTCATTACATGATGTGCCAATGAATTAATATGAATAATCATATTATTAATGGCTAGGGCTGTCAAAATTAACGCGTTAATAACGCATTAACGCAAATTCATTTTAACAGCACTATTAACGCGAATAATGCAGGTCGCATTTTCTGTTTCAGGGTTTCCGCGGGTCCTTAAAAAGTCTTAAAAGGTCTTAAATTTAGTTGTATCAAATTTAAGGCCATAAAAAGTCTTAAATGGTACAAGAAAGTCTTAATTATGATTTCAAGAGGTCTTAAATCTGGGAAAGACAAGAATTGCGATATGGCTTAATGTGATGATTAAACATCAAAAGGCATGATTTCGTTAAATAAATATGAGTGCTGCACGTTTCAAAGTCACCTGCTGCTGCTGCTGCTTTGTTTACAGTCGGGGAAACCGCTCTATTTGTGCCGTTCTGAATGAATTTGCATTTTCAATAAACCCGTCTGCTGTTTTTGTTCAGACCAAAGCGAACATCCACCCATGTTTTTATGCAGCAAACACGCAGTTGTAAATGTGAACTGGTAGATCGATAAGAAGATAATGCATTATAAAAATCTAAACAATTAAGCCAGTAAAATATAGTTATTTGTTTTTTAATTATTATAATAATTGATAATAATTGTTTAAATTAATATAATAATTGATATTTTTTACTTTTGATTCAATTTCTTAAAAATGGTTTTATTATGGTTTAATTCTTTATGCTCTATGTTGAGTATGGTTTCACTAATAATAAACATACATTTGCATAAAGCATCCATATTTGTCCATGCCCATGTTGATTAGAGTATTAAAAACTTGAAAAGTATTAATTTAAGGTACGTTTAGAACAAATAAAAATGTGCAATTAAGTTGCGATTAATCACGAGTTAACTCATGACAATCATGCAATTAATCGTGATTAAATATTTTAATCGATTGACAGCCCTATTAATGGCACATTATTTGGACTGAGAAATTACCCCCCAAAATATAGACATTACTGTGTGAAATGAGAAAAGCATTAAATAGATAAAAGTAGCTTTAGAAAGAAATATGTATAAAATATGTACACTGTGGCCATAACATTGAATTTTTTTTTTTTCCATTAGCTCACTTGATTCGTTCAAAAACATGGATTTATTCAGTAACAAAACACTGCTGTGTTGTTTAGAGATGCACAAACGTTCTGCTGCGGTTTTGTTTTGGAACTATTTTATTGGCGAAATTGAGCAAAAACAGACAATACTGCATCTAAAATGTAACACAAAATTGTCGGCGCTGATATATAGCGTCAGCACACTGACATATAGCGCCATTGCGCTTCGGGCGTCCCGAGTTCGAATCCCGGTTCGTGGACCGATCCCGCCTCTCTCTCCCACTTTGCTTCCTGTCTACCAACTGGCCAATCAAAATAAAGGCAAAAAGAACCAAAAAATAAAAAATCTTTAAAATGTAACACAATACTAACTTGTTTATTGAACTGTTGTATAAAATCAGTATCACATACACAGTGCTCTTGTTTGTGGGATATTGCTAAACTTTATCATATCATATAAAAATCTGGCAAAAATCCATACAGGTACATTTTTGCCTTCATTTCTTGAATTTGATGGGTATATAACTGCATTCTCATAGGCTACATCACACAGTCAGTCGTCATCCTGCATCATGTTTGTTAGGAATTGCATGCAATGACGTACAAGTCTGGACAGGGTGTGTGCGTTAAATGCATTAATCATTGAGTGCATTGCATTGTGGCATTAAGTGTTCCACACAACCTCAGCTCAGTTGTATACTGCACATTTTTACAAATAATAGGTCACCCATACATACAGAAGATTATACACCCTGCATAGTACTTTATTTTAAAAACAATATACCATCCCGAACGTTCCCACAGACACCCCCCTCATTTCTGTGGCTCAGATATGGGTTAATACATTTCAGTGACTCGTACTTTAAAAAAAGCAAATCCTCTGCTGGTTCACCTCAGTTCCCCTTTATATTTAAGCTCCTGCACACACACAAATATACAACACACAATCTAATCCACCATAAACAAATCCTTGTGATATTTCCAGTTACACATGACTGTATATGATTTTGTCTTCTTTTTTTCTAGAGTTTGTGTTTATCTATGTTCTTTGAAGCAGATGTGATTATTGAGTCTGGTGTTTCGTCTCAGGGCTGTGTGGAGAACAGGGGAGAGTTTGTAGGCAGGGCCTGTGGCCACCACGGGCCGTACATCCCTGACGTCCTCTTCTGGTCTATCATTCTCTTCTTCTCCACGGTTGCCATGTCCTCCTTCCTCAAGGAGTTCAAAACTAGCCGTTACTTCCCCACGAAGGCAAGAAGCTTGTGTGTGTGTTTCAGTATAGAATAGTACAATATAATATAGTAATTATAATTTATTTAGACCCATTATACCTAATAGAGTAAAGAGGCACTGCTAAGCCTTTTACATTTTTAAGGCTCACAGATTTATGTTAATTTCTAGTGCTTATTCTAATTCTGTGTGTATCTAAACAGGTGAGGGCAGTTATCAGCGATTTTGCGGTTTTCATCACCATCATGACCATGGTTCTGATCGACTATGCTCTGGGGGTCCCTTCCCCCAAACTACAGGTTCCTAATGAGTTCAAAGTGAGTCGTTAAGAGAAGTTTTACAGTATTGTGTCATTTGTAAATTTCTGCACAAATCTATCCTGTGCATATGAATATGTAATTAATCAGATGATCTCTCACAGCCAACCAGAGATGACCGTGGCTGGTTCATCAGCCCAATAGGTCCAAACCCATGGTGGACCATTATTGTGGCCTTCATCCCAGCTCTGCTATGCACCATCCTTATCTTCATGGACCAACAAATCACTGCTGTTATTATTAACAGGAAGGAACACAAGCTGAAGGTGTTTTGCTAAGTCCTTCACAATATGCTCCTTTTGGTCAACAAATATTCAACTTGATGTCTTTTGTTATGTATGTGTGCCTCCACAGAAAGGCTGTGGGTATCATCTGGACCTGTTTGTGGTGGGTGTGATGCTGGGCGTGTGCTCTGTGATGGGCCTGCCATGGTTCGTAGCGGCGACGGTGCTGTCAATCAGCCACGTGAACAGCCTGAAGCTGGAGTCCGAATGCTCCGCACCTGGCGAACAGCCCAAGTTCTTGGGCATCAGAGAGCAGCGCTTCACCGGCCTCATGATATTCGTCCTGATGGGCAGCTCAGTGTTTATGACCTCCGTACTGAAGGTCAGTGACCTTTGGCTCAGATTGAGTCAGCCTGCTAAGTTTGATCAACACATGCTGCTTGCATTAAACTTTTGAGACATTTCATCCTTTTTAATGGTTATTATTTTATGTTTTTGTCCTCAGAATATCCCGATGCCTGTGTTATATGGAGTTTTCCTCTATATGGGAGCATCGTCTCTCAGGGGCATACAGGTACTGCAATTACTGAATTCATATATTGTGCATGACAGTTGTTTATTCAGCCATTTGTAGGAGTGGCTTATGTTACTTAATATTGTTTAAATACTATTATAGTATATATTAATGTTTTGTATGCGCTTTTATTTTTTATAATTTTGATTTTAGTTTATGGTTTAGTAATTTTGTTATATGCTTTTGTAATTTTTATTAGTTCTTTTATATTTTCATTTAGCTTTATAATTTAATTTCATGGTTTAATAATTGTAATTATTAATAATGATTAATAATGATTTATAATTTAAGTATTTATTTATTTAGTTACCATTTTGTTTTGGTTATTTTTATTACTTCAACTTCAACTGATTCAAGTCAGCATTTCTAATTTTCCTTGTTTTTTAAAAGTTTTTTATATTTTTAATTTATATGTAAGATATCATATGATGTCTGTGTGTTTTCTTGCAGGTCTTAGCCCTTTTGTTCATCCGTAAGCTGTTGGATTTTGTCTTTTGTAAGCGGGATCTCAGCTGGCTTGATGATCTCATGCCTGAGAGCAAGAAGAAAAAAATGGAAGATGCACAGCAAGAGGTGCCACCACCCCTCATCACCCACTGCTATTGGTTGCGGCCTGCGACCACGCTATTGGCCGGCAAAGACCAATCACTGCTGACAATGTTTTAAAAGGACAGATCACCAGTGTGTTCTTTCTCTCACTTTCAGGAGAATCAGTGTGTCTTGATGGAGGATGAAGGAATTGTACAAGTGCCCTTAGAGGGGCATTGCAAGTAAGTAGAAAAAAATCTGTGTTAAAAATGGGTAGCCTGCTGTTGTTACCACTTCTATCTAATCTAACCCTTAAATCTAGTTTTGTTAGAGTATTTATATTAAGTTAGTGATTTAAAAAATATTTTATTGAATAATTAATTTGACCAATTATTTAGATATTATACAAAGCACATTTTTAAAGATTTATTTTATTTTATTTATTTATTTATTTGTTTGTTTGTTTATTTAGAAACTACCGTTCAAAAGTTTGGGTCAGTAAGAAATTAATGCTTTTATTCAGGAAATTGTTCAAAAGCTGCAATAAAAGCATTTAAACTGGAACAAAAGATAAAATAAATGCTGATAAAACAGATGCAAATAAACGCTGTTCTTTTTAACTTATTATTAATCAAAAAATCCTGAAAAAAAAAAAATCACAGTTTCCACAAAGATACTAAAAATCACAACTGTTTTTGACTCTGATAATAATAATAAATGTTTGATGAGTAGCAAATCCTTATACTATAATGGTTTCTGAAGGATCATGTGACACTGAAGACTGGAGTAATGATGCTGAAAATTCAGCTTTGACATCACAGCAATAAATCACATTTTAAAATACTTTACAAAAAAAAAAAATACTATTTTAAATTGTAATATTTTTTTGTAATACTGTAATACTGTTTTGTAATGTATTTTTTCGTACCAACCCAAACTTTTGAACAGTGGTGTATTTATTTTGATGAAACATTTTTAGCGTAATAGTAAGATACATACAATGCCAAAAAAAAATTATTTCATTTCACTTGTTTCATTTAGAGCCGTACAGCTTGCAGTCATTAATTTCTGTAAAAATGTTTAGATGGCCTCCTCTCTTCTTGAAGGACAGTTTCTTTCAAAATAGATGACTAAACAACAATAGTCTGAGATTAAAAATGGCATAAAAATGTGTTTGTGTTCATCAAGGGACGATCCTTCCACAGTCAACATTTCAGATGAAATGACAAAGACGTCTTTTGGAAATATCTGGAAAGGCCTCAGCACTGACAGCACCAACAAAGATCAAAGCTCAAAAAGGTTTGCATTTAATATTCCCTCAGTACATTCTCTCACACACACGACAATCTTCGAACATGTCACTTTAATCTCACCACACACCTGCAAACATTGCATTAGGATAATACAAATACATAGTATTTTATGCTAATGGGACATGTTCAGTTTCTCAAGTCAGTAGTGAAGACCTTACAGCTCGTTTTATTCCTCCTACGGGACAAAAACTCTGTTAAAGATTCAGTCGACTACATTTTCATTCTTAGATCTGAGTTTGGTCATATCTGAGCGCTTTTATGAAATCCCCAACAGCCTTACTCAAAAAATGCTAAATGAATATATAGGATTGCTAAAACATCTTTATCCTAATTTGGAATCAATTCCCAGTGGAATTAAATAAGACTCTTACTGGATAAAGTGAAATTCCTAGATAACTAAATAAAGTCAATTCATCTGTAATCCAATAATGATCCTTCAGGATCTGCACTTCATTATGATGACATTCACCTAGCAATCTGTTTAGTGAAGTCCTCAAACATGCTGTTCTCTTTAAAATGGAAGTGTGAGTATCAGGCTCACATCATGACTGAATTTTTCATCCCTGTCACTCATAAGCTCCCTCTCCTAATGTCTCAGATGCTTATTTCCAAAGGTAAGACGCAACCCATCCCGTCTGTGCACGATCACTGTATATACACTAGTGCTGTGGGTGTCTGGCCTCCATTTCTTTGGTGCTATGGTTCATGTTTTCCTACATGTTCAAACCTTTTCTCCTTTTCTGAAAAACGTTGTCTGTCTTCCTCATCAGAGTTTAACAACAATGAAATAATTCCAGGCTTTACAAAGGGCATCTTACTAAAAACACTGGCATCACAATACGAGATTCAAGCTTTTTGTTCCAGAGCATTTTGGGCTTTGTGTGCATGTTTGTGTGTATTTGTTGAGAATGTTTAATGCATGCAAAAGCATGATTTTCGGATTGGTCAAAGGTCAAGCTTTAGCGCATGCACAATGTTAAAGGAATAGTTCACCCAAAAATGAAAATTTGCTGTAAATGTACTCATTCTCAGGCTATTTAAAATGTAGAAGAGTTTGTTTCTTAATCAGAACAGGTTTGGAGAAATGTAGCATTACATCACTTGCTCACCAATGGATCATCTGCAGTGAATGGGTGCCGTCAGAATGAGAGTCCAAACAGCTGATAAAAACATCTTAATAATCCTCAAGTAATCCACAGGACTCCCGTCCATCAATTAATGTCTCATGAAGTGAAAAGCTGCATGTTTGTGAGAAACAAATCCATTGTTAAGACTTTTTTAACTTCAAACTGTTGCTTCTAGAATATGAGTTCTCTATCCATAATATTGCTTTCTCTAGTGGAAAAGTCATCTCATCTGAATCAGTTCAAAAATAGTTCTAAACAAATATGTTGGTGCATTTTGAAGTAAGAGAACAAGTGGGGATTTTTCACCGGAGGTGATAGAGGTATGGATTATGGACTTGTCTATTTTGGCCAGATTTGACAGTTTAAAATTAAAACACCTTAATGATGGATTTGTTTCTTACAAACGCAAAGATTTTTACTTCACACAATGTTAATTGATGGACTGGAGTCATGTAGATTACTTGTGGATTATTGTGATGTTTTCATCAGCTGTTTGGACTCTCATTCTGACGGCACCCATTCACTGCAGAGGATCCATTGGTGAGCAAATAATGTATTGCAAAATTTCTCCAAATCTGTTCCGATAAACAAAATTAAGGTTACTTTTGTTTTCAACCAGGTAGAGTGTATTTTGTATGTTTTATATTTTTTTGAAAGTAGATTCTATTGAAATTCCTTGTCTTATAGCCTGGATATGTTTATTATATGAAATTCATTCTTTTTTATTATGCATAAATGATCAATATTAATTTGCAGGCATAGTTAAAATATCAAAATAGTAAAAATCAATTTCTGAAAGAAGATGCAAATGTAGTTATATCAGCTTTTTCAGTGTCTGTGCGTCAAAATGTTCTCCACATTACTCCATAAGATACTTGATGTTAACTTTTACTACTTATGAGCAGTGACCAACATTTTTAAAATAACTTTTATGAACAGTTTTCTCATTTTATGAATGTTATGGTAAGATTTCCCTAAAAACAAACACACATATGAGCCAGGACTGTGCTCATTTTAGCCTACAACATTTTCTCCCAAACTTCTTCATTTGAAACGCATCCATATTCATAAATTCACTTGTTGATCTGGACTTGGTTTTTTTTTATTTGTTTTTATGATTATTACAAAGCTTTATGTCATTTTGTGTAGCACTTAACCATGCAAATAATAGTAAACATATATGTTGTTAAAACGTTGCAAATAATATAACTGTATAGTGCGGGTTTTCACAATGTTTCTGAGTGAGTGGGCATCTGTCTCCTCTACAAGACTCATTTGCAAGCCGAGGAGAGACCTCATCACTCAAACGAGCGAATTATACTATTACTGCCGATAATACAAAAATCCTACAAGAAATGCAATAATATTCCTTTTCGTAAGAGGGGCATTACACCATACACTAACCAGAGACAAATCTAACATTTATCATCAACACACATACATGTGATTCTGTAGTTTGTCTATGTGTACAATCTTAAATAAAGTTATTTAATATGTGGATAGATTTAAATATGTATAGACTGTGGGGGTGGGGGGTATGAATGTTTTCATGTTACTGTCAGTGTTATTACAGTGTTTTGGCATTTTCCAAGTTGGTTAACAAAACTACAACACGCACATCTATGTCATGCACATGTCGGCAGCATTAAGTTCTGTTGATTTCACTGTAAAATAATCATTAACTTCCTGAAAACAGTCTCTGTTGTTTAAGTTATTCATTCAAATGAATATGTATCATTACAACTGTGAGCAATTTTCATCCGAATAAATGTGACTGCAAATAAACTGACGCTAAAGTGTGTTTTTGCGACAGTTGATCTTTTTACATTTACTATATACAAGAGATATTTTATCAGTCCCTAAAATGGCATGATATTGAAAGGTAAGTTTAACACATAATTAACGAGTTATTCAAATGCCCATGTGTATAGGCCTAAGGGATGTGTCCTGAAGTCCAGCTCTTTGTAATGTAGGATTGATGATGTTGCAAAATAATTCTAGACAGATTTTCCTCATGTCTTTGTTCTGGGTCTGACTGACCTTTAAAAGAGAAACTGTCACTGAGGCCGAAACTGCTGGAGTCTGAGGTTATTTAATATTGATAAGCAGTTTTACAATGAAGTCCTCTGAGGGTTACCATCTCAAGGTTAGGGACACAATACAAACCACCACATCCTCAAAGGATCATAATCCAGCTTAAAAAGCAGACTGCTTCGGTAACTGCTTTATTTTATGTTATTTTTATTTATTTTAATAATTTATCCATTAATTTACACTGATAAAATCGTGTTAGCTATTATTTTCTTCAAATACGGTGTTAGAAAGGATAAATATTCGTAGATGTGGGCTTGTATCCTTCAGGTACACTATAAATTTAAACTACTTCTGCAATAAAAGTAGGCCTATAGAATTACCTTTTCCAGTAAATTCTGCATGATTACATTTTCAGTGTATTCTACAGCTTCTCTTTTTGCGGTTTGCATTTACCGTCTGATGTCCGATGCGTCAAGCAGGTAAACTCACATCCTTGTGGTAGTTAGTCCTTATTTAGCTAAATAATTAATTTATTTAGGCGTTTTGTTTATTTCACGATTGAGGTATGATTGTGTTTACATTTATACAACACCAACGTACGTGAAAGAACGTGGGGAAAACAATCAAACATTAGGCCTACTTAGGAAAAAAAAAAAAAAAAACATTTCAAAAAATTTAGGCCTTGGAAATTTCCAAATGCTGCCTATAATTCTGATCCAGGTTTTAGGACTACAGACTGCACGGCTCTTGTGCATATGCTGCTCATCCAAAGGCAAAGTAGGCCTACAAAACAAGTGAAATTGATTTCTGATCTTATAAAATGCAATGCAGTTCTTTTCACGCTCATGTGCGTTAATCTGTTCCTTCCTCTGTCTGCCGCAGACTTTTTTTTTTATTTATTTTTTTTATTAATTAATTGATTACAGGTGTTATAGATTATCCTCGTTTCAACAGTCGAGCTGAAAATGTATAATGGTGGATCATTTTCTCGGGACGCCATTAACATCTGCTATTTTGTAGCATAACAAGCGTTCAATGTGTCGTTTAGGCCACGTTCACAATTAATTTTTTTATTAATTGATTACAGGTGTTATAGATTATCCTCGTTTCAACAGTCGAGCTGAAAATGTATAATGGTGGATCATTTTCTCGGGACGCCATTAACATCTGCTATTTTGTAGCATAACAAGCGTTCAATGTGTCGTTTAGGCCACGTTCACACAGCAGCAGAATGCGGTTGTCAATCCCAAAAAATGACAGTGTGAACGAAACCTCAGATTTGCGATTGATATATTGCGATTAATTTTGGAAGTAAATATCAAATCAAATGCAGTATTTTGGGTCCAGGCGTTTGCCCCGTATGTCCAATAGATGGCGTGTTTGCTGCATGAATGTCATTCTAATGTGTCCAGCAGGAGGCGCTGCAGTACAGGCTTCATCGCTCTTGTCAGGAAGTGGACCAACATCGCCATCTGGCCGTGAAAGTTTAGTAGGTCAATGTTTTTCATGCCCTAAATCAGTGGTTTTCAATCGTGGTCCTGGGGACCCACCTCTCTGCACATTTTGTATGTCTCTCTTATCTGTCACACTCAGTTCAGTTCATGGAGTCTCTCCTAATGAACTGATGATCTGAATCAGGTGTGTTAAGTAAGGGAGACACACAAAATGTGCAGAGCGGTGGAAAACCACTGCCCTAAATGACATTTACGACATTTTCTCTGTGCAATTATCTCAACATTTACTAAAGCTACTTTTCCATTTCTAACAGTCTTATGTATAATTTATATGATTATTTTTTAAATAATCATTTTGAGTGACACTGCAGTGCAGAACACATTTAGTATGGATGTTTGGGAAAATAAATAAATAAGAATAAGTTGCATATATCATCATGAAAACAAGATCAACACTCAAGTACTATCCTTAATTACCCTTAAAACATTTTAATGAGTAAAACATGTGAAGTGAGTTTACATGTTATGGCAGGAGCACAGATGGCGTCTCATCACTGAACGTTTCCAAGGTGATGATCGGGCTCCCAAGGGCAGTGTCAAGTAAGATGAGAACGGCCCATCAGCTCACATCAAAACGTGGAAAAGAGCCCAGCTCAGTCATATGTGATGCAGCTCCTCAACAACAACAACAAAAAAAGTAAGTAAATAAAAAAGAAAACATGTGAAATATAACATAATTGTATCAAATTATATGTATAATATTTAGATATTGTTTGATATTTTTAACATATGTACAACATTCAATCTTTTCAAATATGCATTCAAATATTTATTATTATTATTTAATTACTATTATTGCTATTGTTATTATAATTAAATATGCTATTATTTTTAGTAGTAGTATGTAATTAAATTACTATTTTCATTATTATTATTATTAGTAGTAGTAGTAGTAGTAGTATTTTAATGCATGTTTGTCTGGATTTGCAGACTTACACGTCATATATATATATATATATATATATATATATATATATCTCACATAATATAAAGTATTAAGGACTCAAATATGTACATGTATATGTACAATTTATTATTGCATTACCTAACCAATGCACCAAAATTAATGTTTAAAAAAAGGAACACAAAATAATGACATTGTTCAGTATTAATATTATTAAATATTATTTGTGCATTTATTAATAATGTATTAAATGAATACATTGATAAATTAAATAACAATATAAAATTATAATATAAAATGTATGATATAAAACATAATGTAAAATGTATAATTTAGTATATTGAATAATATATCAAAAACGTATTTTAATGGCTTTAACATTTTACAAGAGGTTTTGTTTTACAGCACAGGCTGTATGCATTAATGATAATAATACATATTATTTTATTATATTATTAATAGTATACTCTATTAATATATCAGTTAATAATATAATATAATTAATATAATAAATTGAATAACAGTAATAGTTTTTAATTAATTATGCTTTTTACAGCAACAGGACTATTACAGTACAGGCTGTATGCACAAGGCTCCATTCCACTGAATCCATTGTTCCAGGTTTTGTGTAAAGGGAGCTTTGTGTCTCTCTGAAGGCAGGTACTGTTGCCTCCCTCTGATTCCCTTCCTGGTGCCTAACACAGTCTATAGGATAGAAGCCATAGAGCTGGTTTGAGAGGCGGTAAAGTCCAGCCAGCATCACTCAGGCGCTGAGATTCAGAATGAATGATTAACATCACAAAAGCCTCTGCATCTCCACACTGTAGAACAAAAGAGCCGGATTCATCTGCCGGTGTCACCGGCACTCTCTCGTGTCTTCCATCGGAGATCTCCATCAAGGGCTGGGAGTGGCTGCTGTCTTTGTGAGAGGAGAGGAGAGGAGAGGAGAGGAGAGAGGCCACCGTTCACACCCTGAGATGCTCTGCAGGCTGGAGGAGGAAGAGGAGATGTCTCTACTGGAGCTACAGCAGAGGGTGGACTGTATCATCACCCATGTTGGTGAGTGGATTATTCTCTGCTGAGGCTGATGGGGGTGTGTTACAGCTGTGATTGATCTTTCTATCGCTGATTCAGGTGCAGTCCATGAATTCTGGGGTTTAGGGGAAACCATGAGGTTTCCTGATGGACAGTGATAGAAGCTTGATTTTAGACCTCTATGCTTTATTTTAGCACACACAGAATGTGAAGATGGAGAGCAATTGCAGAATTTTATTGGTTTATTTTATTTTACTATTATTCATTTTTATTTCTTAATTTATGGAGGGGATTTTGAGGTTATTCGGTCTTTTGCATAGGAACTACCGACTGATTTTGTTTCTAATTTTGCACCTGAGAATCACATACTTAATTTAATAAAATTAATTCAATTAAAAATACCCTTTCAGTAAATTCAGAAAATAAATACAGCTTAGTCAAATTTAGATACAGATTCTCAACGAAATAAATAAATAAAAAATAAAATGTGGACTTTTATTATTATTATTATTATTATTATTATTAATACATATTAATACATATATTGTGTGTATAGATTTAGACAAGGCTTTAAATATTTTCACATTTACAGTTTACCAGTCCAAAGTAAAAACATTCATATTTAAAAAAAGCAAGTTAACATCATTCAGTATTAATAATAATATTACACATTATTTATAGTATTTATTAATACTATATTCTATTAATATATTATTCAATTAAAAATAAACAATGTGTGTGTAATTAATATAACATAATATAAGTTCATAAAGTTAATTATTATTAGATTTTTATTTAAACATTTTACAAGAGGTGCTGTTTGACTATAAACAATGCAGGCTGTATGAATAAGGCTCCATTCCACTGAATCCATAGCAGAAAGCACTGGTTTTAGTGTATCAAAGTGCAAAGATGCTATTTAATTTGATTATTTTTTAGCATTTAAATATATGACTTTTTTGAGGTTACGGTAATGTCTTTGCATAGAAACTACCGGCTAATAAGGGATGTCTAATGAAATGATGGCACCTGTTTGTATCAGAATCACATACCTTAATTAATTTGACATTTTCAGCAAATTTAAAAAAATAAATGCGGGATGTAAAAAAACAGCATAGATAAATCTGGTTGAATAAGAAATCTCCTCTCTGAGAAGGTGTTTACACCAAACAGTTATATTTTTCATCTTCCTGTACCATGAAAAGCAGGGAAATATCCAGGTGCTTTCCCATGCCAGTGAGTGAAGTAGGTTATTGTGCCATGCTGCTGTTAGCGCTGTCCTGCATGAGAGAGAGGCACTGCTGCCGCCCCCACTGCAGCCCTCGGGGGACGTAAAGTCCGTTGCCATGGAAACTGAGATGGGCCAGCTCAGCCATATTGATTCACAGAGACACTCCATGCTTTAAACACACACTCACTGTTTCCTAAGTTCATCATCCGCATTATAACACACCGCTGCTTCAGCTTTCTGAGCCAACTGAAAACCAGCAGGCTTTTTTAAACAATGGTTAAACCATTTGCTTTCAATTCACTGCACTGAACTGGACTTTCAAACTAGAAGTTTGAAATATCCAAATGTTCAAATTCAAACTTATTGGACGGCCTCTCAAACCTGCCTTTGGTTTTGAACAAACAATAGAAAAATACAAGAGTTATTTCTGGTTCTGTTTTGCTGAGAGGAAATCAGCATTAGCGGCATCTCTGGTGATTCGTCAGAGTATCGGCCTCTCTGAGTGAGTCACAGATGTGGCCATCCGGCCCTGTAATAGCAAGATGACTAAACATCTACGTTCTGCTCTCTGATTGGTCACATATGACATCACTCTCGTGTTCATTTCAAAGCTGAGTGATAAATTGCTCATTTCTGGATATCGAGCTCATGAATATTTAACATGCCGGATGAGCAGTTAAGCGTTCTATAAGACAGCAGCATCTGAGCCTAACACAGTGTACATTTGCATATATTAGCTGATCTTCATATTTACACTACCTTTCAAAAGTTTGGGGTTGGTAGTATTTTTTTTCATGTGATTGAAGACAGGAATAAATTAAATTTTTTAAATATATTCAATAGAAAATAATATTTCACAGTATTACTGTTTTTACTTTATTTTTGATTAAATAAATGCAGCCTTGTTGAGCATAAGAGACTTCTTTCAAAAACATTTAAACAATTTTACCGACCACTTTTAAATGCAAGTTTAATAAGAAAAAATATTGGCGACATTGGGGTATATTTCACCTTTACCCTTTTTTAAAGAAGAATATGGCAAAAATTTGACACTTTGGTGATGCTAAACATAGTACATGGTGGAAAAAAAGGTTTAAACAACATCATAACAACATTACTGCAATGTTAGGAAAGACTTGAATGGTTTTTAATGTTATGAATACCTTTTTATGACTTTACAACAAAGTTGTTTTTGTTTTGTTCTTTTTTTTTTATTATTTAGACTGACTTCCCTCTGAGAGTCTACGCTTTAATCTGACAGTCATTCTGACTCCACTGCTGCTTAAAAGTTGTTTAAAATAATAAAAAAAACAATGTTATTCAGTCATCCTAAACTAATCAGGATAAAGGGATTAACAGAAACAAGCCAAATACTGGGCACTGGTACAGAGATAAAACACACACACACACACACACAGCATCACACCCACAAGCTTAAGCACACACACATTGTCTGAATTTCTGAACACAAATCAGTTGAAATTTCAATTCATGTCATTGTATATCATAACAGTATTTTTCACAGAACCTGTTTTTCTATACACTATCTTTCAAAAGTTTAATGTCAGTAAGACTTTTTAATGTTTTTGAAAGAAGTTCATTATGCTCACCAAGGCTGATTTTATTTGATCAAAAATACAGTAAAACAGTCATATTGTAAAATATTATTAAAATTTAAAATGACTATTTTAATAGATCTTAAAATGTAATTTATTCCTGTGAGGCAAAGCTGAATATTCAGCATCATTACTCAGTCTTCAGTGTCACACGATCCTTCCGAAATCATTCTAATATACTGATTTGGTGCTTTAGGAAAGCTGCTTTTTTTACTATCAATATTGAAAACAGTTGAGCTGCTTAATATTTTGGTGGAAATTCTTCATTTTTTTTCATCAGGATTCTTTGGTGTATAGAATAGAACAGCGTTTATTTGAAAAATAAATTTTATAACACTTGAAATGTATTTACTGTCACTTTTGATCTTTGCTAAAAAGTATTAATAATAATTAAAAAAAAACCTTACTCACCTCAAACTTTTAGCGTATGGCTGTAATATATCAAAACTCATTGTCTTAACTTATGCTTCAAGCTGTCTTAAAGAGACCAAACTTCATTTTGTGCTCTAAAAGGTTTTAAAGAAACTGAATCAATGACATAAAATAACAAAATAAAATACGCAATTACATCTTACATTTTTTGTCTGTGTGTTTTAGTAGTTTATGCTTAGTTCCTGACTGCATTTTGACCCGTCAAATTCTATATACAGCCCAAAATCCTTGAACTGGGCTTTATTTCAAGCTGCTATCAGCGTGACAGTATCTCCAAAGACTTGGACTCACAATAAAACAGCGGCAGTGAGCAGTGACGCTCAACAGCAAATCCAAAAAGGTGAACAATAGGAAGGTCATTGTACTTCCTTCCCTCCCTCCTCTCCTCGCCCCGTCTGCTTTTGTGTGCTGCTCTGTATAATATCTGTTATAGCTTCAATGCTGCGCTCATGTCAATCAATATTTTATTCTCACACTGTCTAGGTTAGATTGCTCAGATATACAGGAAGTTCTCCTTCCGGATCAAAGTCAGGCGTAGTCTAGTTCTCAGAAATCAAATGGGGCCAAATGGGGCTCTTCACTCATCCAAAAACAAACTCCAGCATATTCAGTTGTCAGATGTGATTGGGACTTTGAACGGGACTGGCTTCTATGGTCAGATTAAACTAAAAAAAAAGAGCTTTTTGGCAGCCAAACCCACCAGATGAGTTTGGTGCAAACAGGGATAAAAAGTACCCCATGTCCACAGTTAAATATACTGCTGGATCTTTAATGTTGTGGGCCTGTTTTTCTGCCGGAGGTCATGGACATCTTGTTCAGATACATGGCGTCATGGATTCTATCAAATACCAACAGATAAAATCTAAACCTGACTGCCTCTGTTAGAAATCGTATTATGGCCCGGTGTTGGATCTTCCATCAGGACAATGATCCAAAACAAACATCAAAATCAACACATAAATGTCTCACTGAGCACAAAATGAAGCTTCTGCCATGATCCCAGTCCTCTGACCTGAACCCTATAGAAAATGAGTGTGGTGAACTGAAGAGAAGAAGCACCAGCATGGAGCTGAGAAAACTCAGAGCTGATATCTTGGGAAAAGAATGTTGCATTAATTGGGTGCCGATAATTGTGGCTAATGTGAACTAGAGAAAAACATTTATTTCATAATAAGATTTTCCCCCCACTTTCCATTGTTTTACTTCAATGATAGGTTTGAATTTTGTGAATTTTTTTGAATGAAAGATCAAAAGGATAAACGATGCAGATTTATTTTCACAGCCACCGTTGCTCATATTTACCAAGGGTGCCAATATTAGTGGTTGGGACTGTATCTTTAATATTATTATCATCATCATCACTTTTGTAAATAAGAATGACATAATCAACAACAACAACAATAATAATAATAGTGATGTAAAAAAGTAAAACTATGGCAAGTCAATAACAGAAATTTAATTATGCCAATAAAATTATAAATGGCATAATATAAAATCTGTAAATTTATAATAATAATAATAATAATATATTAATATTATAACATTTTTAAAAACTATGTATATGTCAATAGAATAAAATTAATTATTAATGCCATGATATTAAATTATAACTGTATTAAATAATAATAATAATAATAATAATAATTTTCACTGACCCCCTTGCACCAAAGATCACGATAGTTTTCAGGCAGTTATTGTATGTTAGCATGCAGCTTGAGTGTACCTTTTTGAAAAACGGTAATTAC